TGTGGGACTGTGGCAAGGCTTTCATACCCATTTTACACCGAAGCAACTCAGCCTGGTGCCTGCTCAGCATGTCCCCTTCCACTGCCAGGAATTCGGTTTTCATTGCCCCTAAAGCCTGCTCCTGTACCTTTACCACTACCACACAGGGGTGAATGCCCCTCCGAGTAACAAGAGTTGCTACAGGCTGCTGGAGGTGCACCAGCTGGCAGCCCATGCTGAGCCCCAGCTCCACTGCTACGCATTGGGAGCTCTGCCTTCCTGTCTTCACTGTGGCTCCTGAGCACTGCTGTGTAGCTGCTACCACCCACGCCCTGAGGTGTTTGACTGTGACACCTCTGGCAAGAAAGTACCCACTTGTAGGTGCATGAAGGGACCCATGTGGCTAAGGCGCCAGCCCCACAACTACTCATATTTACCTGTCACCCCTTCCCCAGGGCCCTTGGTGGCATGCCCTCTGCACGCCCCCACCCCCCGCATCTCTGCAGTCCCTACCCAATGATGAGGCTTGGAGTGCAGGGAATGCAAGAAGTTGTTCAGCACAGAAGTCATCGGCAGATACCAGTGCATCCAACCACCTGAGCTGCCATACCATCAAGATGCCGTATTGAGACTGTGGCAAGGCAGTCAGTCAGAGTGCCCACTTAGAGGACCATGGCAACTGCACATAGATGAAAGGCCTTCACCTGTGAAATGTGCAGTAAAGCCTTTGCCGTCTTCATACTCTTGGTGGAATATGGCTCTAGTCATACGGGCCAATAGCCCTACTCCTGCCCCAACTGTAGCAAGAGCCACGGGTCCTCCATCCTCTGCAAGCACCGTAAGACCCACTGGCATCAGCATCAGCCAGCTGTGTGGTAACAGCTGGGGGTCAGCCTGGCCACAGTGGAGGCTGCAGTGGAGGGGCTGCTGGTGGTGGAGGCCATTGTTGAGATCTACCCTCCAGAAGAGGTCAAGAAAATCCCCATCAATGGTGGGCTGCCCCATTTTCCTCTTTAGCACTAGCGCACCCTCTTGCTAAAAATTACCTCCTCCAATATCCTCTTAAATTTCTACATATTCTGTGCTCTTTCCTTCAACCCTCCCAATTGTCATGCAAGTTCTGTGACTGGTTTTAGCCTCTCTTCTAAGAGGGTGCTCTGGGGTCCTTGGTATGCATAAAGGCCCTCCCCCAAACCCACCTTCCATGTGCTAGCACTGGTGGCCCCAAGTCAACAAACAATGAGTTGGAGAAAGGAAATAAAGAAAGGAAGAAAAGAAGGAAGGAGGTTGGGAAGCAGCAAGGGATTATCCAGAGCCAAACTGAGAACCCAAGCCTTGGGAACAGTCAAAAGATTTCTCTGAGTGATTGACCCACCTTCACAGGTTTGGTAAATTACATGCATAGAAAGAATACATAATTGTTCTTTTTTTTTTTTAAGATTTATTTATTTATTTATACAAGCACTGGATACAGTCAGAAGCACGGGAGGATGAGAGAATTCACCAGAGCCAGAGTGGGGAAGAGAACAAGCAGACTGACGAAATACACTGCTGAGGGGAGCGAGCGGGAGCGGCAGGAGAGTTCTGTCGTGCCATGTGGGACCCTCACCAGTGGCCGGGGATCAAACCGGCGCTGCAGGGGCTGCGGGCAGCTTCGCAGCCCAGCGCTCAACCGCTGCGCCACCGGGGAGGCCCTACATAACATCTAGTTAATTTATAGTATTTGCAGTTAACTAAAAGAGGTTAGTTTCAATAGCTTTAGTTAATAATAAAAAATAAATGTTATTTATAACTTCAAAATGATCCCCTGGTTTTATAAAATCAACTCAGCCAGAGCTATCTGTATAGGGGAAGATATAAAAATCAACTTTGAATTGCTTATCCTAACAGGTACCCCTATAGACTTGCAGGTGTAATCAGGTGATTATTATTTTTTTTGAAGATTTATGTATTTATTTATACAAGCACTGGGTACAGTCAGAAGCACAGGAGGGCGAGAGAATTCACCAGAGCCAGAGCGGGGAACAGAACAGGCAGACCGACGAAATACACTGCTGAGGGGAGCAGCGGGCGCTGCAGGAGAGGTCTGCACGCCATGTGGGACCCTCGCCAGCGGCCGGGGATCGAACTGGTGCTACAGAGGCTGTGGGCAGCCTCGCAGCCCAGCACTTTACTGCTACGCCACCAGGGGAGGCCCAATCAGGTGATTATTGATGGAAGTTAAGAGTAGAAAATTTAGGAAGGTGGTGTCACAAATCCTGAAACCGGAGGTGAGTAGAAATGGTTAACATAGTTGTTAAGCCAGCTATCAAAATGAAAAATCCTTAGGCCACAACTGCTGTAGCAGGTATGACTGCTATAAAGGTATCAGAGGCATAGACCAGAGGTGGGAATATGGAGACTGAGGGCCATTGTAGAGAAATCACCAGTGCTAACCACCTCCTCACACCCTAGAAGTAATTAACTATAGATAATAATTCCACAAAGGAATGAACCCCTTCCCAAAAGAACACTATATTAGTACATTTTCTGCCACTGGAAAACACAGCTCTCCTCCCAAGATTGCCCACCTGTGTCTATACAAGCATCTCTTTTAACAAGCCTGTCCCTTTCAAAGGCAGCACTCCTGCCAGCCTGTATTTATGCAGGCATCTCTTTCTTAAATCTACCCTTTTCAAAAAGGCGGCTCTTTCTGCCTGCTTGTGTCTGTGCAAGCGTCCTTTTCTTACCTTTTATAAAAATATAATAAACCCGCCCTTTTGGATATAACTAAACTTCTCTGACTTGAGAGGCTGTAACTGTGCTATCCATAGAAAGGGGAGGCTCTAGGTTCCCTGCCCACCAAGGAAGAGTGGAGCTAGCCTGGGAGAAGAAGAAAGAAAAGACTGGGAGAAGGGCTTGGGAAGAAGAGAAAAGATTTGGAGGAGGTATATGGAGCAGAGACATGTCAAGAAGCTGTGCTTGCTTCTCAGACTTGGTCTTGTATCAGGGACTTGGGGGACATGGATGGAGACACTTGAAAGAGACATGGGTAAGAGACCTCTGGGGAGGCTGACAATGACAGCCTTTGTCTTGACTTGTATTTTGATTTTGCTCTATTCCTTCCAAACTTGCCTGCCCCCTTCTGCCTTTTTTCACTGGTTCCCCACCAGAAGGAACCTTAAATTTGTGGCCAGCTCCTGGCCTCTGCAGCCCTGCTTTGGGCCAACCCTGTTTGACTGGGAGATGGGTAACTTTGGGTGTTCCGTGGGGAAACTTTCATTAAAGTCCTGTTCCACTGAAGGTCTTATGTATTATGTTTATCTTTACACAGCGTATGGCAGGACCCATTTAGAACAGGCAGGTTTTGGGATCCCAGTTGCCCCTCATTATGCCTGCTAATAGGGTAATTCACCATGAGCTGCTGAAAGGGGGTACTTTGGTGAAACTTTTTTCAGAGGTAACCCAAGGACCCTGTTCTCTAAACCCAACACCACTCTAAATTAACATCAATTACCTCATGCTTCTTCTTTGAGCAGCTCATAACATAACAGGCAGACTTAGACTGTGGACTTTCTAGATTTTGCCACAGGATTTTCATTACAGCAAAGCCATTGTCTTGCTGACTTCAGCCTCTGAGGTGGTCCTGTTAGGGCTGAAGAGACATATCCAACAGCTATTTCCCTTTCTTTGGTTATAGTTCATATTTTTGGCCTGGTTTTTCAGTTGTCAAGATCCCTGTAACTCTATCTTGGCTGGAACAGGAAGTCTCAAAAGATTTATTTATACACTAGGAAATATGCCAAATCTGAAGCTAATACATATATTGCTAAAGTGCAGTAGTAACTATAGCACTTGTTTAGAACTATGACAAAGGACTGTCTTGGTTTGGACAGCAGTACTTTATCATTGACATTGTTGAGAATTTACTGATACATGCAATAATTAAAAGCAAACCACTTTGTAGTAGGTTTCAATGTTGTTTTTATGCTCTCGACAGTCAATAACCATCCTGTCACCTGCACCTTGGGCACACGGCTGTAGACCCCCACTCTTGGTATTCCATTGCATAAATCTCCACTTTATTCCCAATCAAATTAGTTAATTAGTTAATTAGTTAATTCAATCCAAAATTGAATTAACTTTCCACTGTAAATCTGCTATTATTCTATTTTCTACCTGTTAGGATATTGTATTATAATAATCTGTTTATGACTCTTTCCCCACAGTTAGACTGAGGGCTTTCAAGAGAAAGACTTGCTCATGTTCACATGGAACAGATGTTTGTTGAATGAATAGTGTTCCAACATGTCAGACTGAAGTATCTTCTTCGCTCACCAGAAGAATAACAGACACACTGCAGTTCCTAAGCACTTGCAGCTCAACCACGATTTGGAGCAGGGGCTACAATGATGGACAGAGAAGACCGGGCTCTACTCTGCAGGGAAGGTGTTCTTAGTTGAAGAAGGGCAGAGAGCACAGATAAAGAGGCAAATTACAACACGAGGGAGGTAAGATCACCTAGGGGAAACCTGAGAAGAAAAACCTGGGCCAGGCCTCGAAGTGCGCTGATAGCAGGAACTTGGTCTTTCGCCGCGGGCAAAAGGGAGCAGCGATTCGTGGCGGGAGGGGTCCTGGGAAGCCCGTGATCTCCCTCAGCCCTTTGCGGGTAAAAACTTGAGGGGACCACAAAACGCCTCAAACGCGTTCTAGGGGGGCTACAATGTCTGGATCCCCGTTTCCACAATCCTTCACGTGCCGGAAGGGAGGCGCCGGGTCGGGCGCGGAACGCGAGCGTCCGCGGGGAGGCGCGCCGGGCGGGCGGGCGCCCCGGGGTCCGCGAGCGCGCGCCGCAGGAAGCGGAGGGGGGCGGAGCCAAGCCCCCTGCGCGGGGCCTCGCGTCGCGGGCGGGGCCGAGGCGGAAGGGCACGGAAGGAGGTGACGATGTAAGTGAGCGCCCGCGTCGCGGCCGCGGCTCCGAAGGCAGCTCGGTGGCCGTGGCCGCTGGGAGCAGGCCGGACACCTCCTCGCTGACGGGGCTTTCCCTGGAGCTGGCGCCGGCGGGGCCGCAGTCCGAGCTGCCGCAGTGGCTGGACCCGCGGCGGGGCAGGTGCCGGCGGCGAGGGACGTAGGTAAGCGGGAGCCGGGGTAGCCAATCGGCCGAATGACTTACGGTTCAGGCTGGCTGGCTCTTCCCGCGCCTGTGCGCGCCAGCTCAGCACCGGGCCCGGAGGCCTCGAGCGCTGCTCTCTCCCCTCGGGCAAGCCCGAGGCACCAGCTCTCTCCCCCCGCGCTGCTCAGCTTTCGGGGGTGGGGGAAGCTTGTCCCGGGGGACCACGTCCTCTCCTCTTTCTCTCCAGTCCAAGCTGTACGACGCAGAAGCAAAGAAAGCTAGCCTCCTGGCCACTCCTCCTGAAGCTGGTGAAATCTGGGGAAAGCTTTGAGAGGAAGAGCTGCTGTTAGAGGTCCTCCAGCTCCTGTCCAGGGTTTTTATTTGTTCGGACAGTTCCGCTTCCTTCCTGTCTTTCGGTCCTTCTCCCCACACTCCTGGCATACTGTTCTAGTAAAAGGACATGGCACAGTTGAATCCAGCGGTGGGAAGCCTGGCTCTCTGTTGTATGTATGGAGATAGTATCATCCCCCGTTCCACCTGGGTTGAAGGGAGTGTAGTTGAGTTGAAAGCCTAGCTTGCCATTTGGTTGTGGTTTTAATGTTCAGAGAGACTCTGGCTTTTCTTATATCCCTATACATTGGTTGGGAGAATTAAATGACATGAAGAAAGCAGAACATTAGTCATGAAATGTTTTGGGTATCTACTTGAACTCGGTTTAAGAATATCCAGGACACTTAATGGTAGGTTCCTAATTATGTCTTTTACCCAGAATAAGCTGGGTATGGAGAAGGATGCCAGCGGAGACAGCAGGATTTTGTGTGGTTAGAATCTAACTGCAGCCTCTGCTTTGGTTGGGCAGCATTAGGAAGAAATCACACCCCTCTAGTCACCTAAATGTCTCATGCTTGCTGATAAAATATTGGTTTGTGAGGAATGACCCAAATCAGTTTTGCTCCTTACTCAAGATAGCTTCGCCCAATGGGCCCTTTCTAGGTGAAAAGCAGGGAGGAGCTTCATTTACACCTTGGTCCAATTTAGAAGAAATTCTCTGCACGTATTTCTGAGAATCCCTCACTCTACCACTAAAACATTGCATGTTAGTTGAAACTGTGCAGAGAATAAATACAGGAACTATAAAATCCTTTGAGTGTCTAGACATTATAGTTGTAAGTTAATCTGAGATGGCTTTCTTTACAATGGAGAGAGAGGAATATTCACCACTGCCAATTTTAGTAGACCCTGAATTAGGGGGAAGTTTTAGGGGGAGGAGAGAAAGAGATTCAGTGACTTGAGTATTACCTTTTCTTGAAGTTGCTTGGTCAGACAAATTAAGGATACTTTCCTCAGTGGAGCATGGTGATGTCTGCTGTGCATCTTGTATGTAGCCAAGTGCAATCTCCAGTTCCTTTTACAGAGACTTGTCAATTTGGAATTTTAAGTCGTGGATACAGAAGTAACCTTAAGGATCATCTAATCCAGTGATTTCAATACCTGACTGGATGTTAAAAACAGTTGGGGAATTAAAATAAAATGAAATCCCGCATGCCTGGAACCCTACGTTAAGATCTGAAGTTGGACCTGGATATTTGTGGTTTTTAAAAAGCTTCTCAGATGATATTCATGGTTTGAAAACAGCGGTAGATCAGGTTTCATAATTTAGTTTATAAACAGACTCAGTGATGAAGTGTTATGTCCAATTAGACTATTGTCTTCTTAATTTTTTCCCCTCTTCCTTAACAAAATAACATTGCTTTAATCAGTAGTACCACTTCAGGTTTTGTAGTGCCTTCAGCCCAGAAAAAAAAAAAAAAGTCCTTCAAGTTAGTAGCTATGTATAATTGTATTTTTATAGTTTCCTATGCAGTTAGGTTCCTTAATGCTGTTTGACAAAAATATTAGATTTTACATTAAAAATTGCTACAATTTGTCACTTAGGTTTGTTGTCAGAAAGATTTTAAAATTTTGCCATTTTATAAATCAGTTTTTTTCAGGAGGCTTTTATGTCACACTTTCATTAACCATGAAAAATTCCATTTTAGAATATTTTGCTTTTGTTCTGGCTTATCATAAACTGAGCGTGCTATAAATAGTCTCTCCTACCTTCTCCATCCTGGTGTGCATGACCATTTGCTTTGTGTCACTAGCCAGCTTCCTCCAGAAGTCAATTTGAGACCTGGGTTCTATACTTCTCTGATTGTCTTACAAACATCTGATTTAATTAGAGGGGCATTTGCTTTAAAGCTAGTTTTCAAATTTTCAGTCCCTTTGTTCTTTTCTTGGTTGAGTTATTTTGTGCCACTGATTTGAAGAATTTGATGGATGCCTAAAAAGGATCAACTGATAGGACAGTAACAATGGTACACATATATGTTTCTTACCCATTTTAGAGAAAACCTTCTAACTTTTAGGTAATGTTTTCAGAATCATTAAGGTAATAGGCCATCAGGAAGAGTTGAACATTCTCTTTATATTCATTCTCAAATTATTTGATAGCGTTCTCATTGCTTCAACAATTTCTATTCTGTATTATTTACAGAACCAGAAATGGACCCTACATCACTGATCCGCTAAAGGAAGATGATGAATTATTTTCTTTCTAAAAATGAACCTGTTTATAGCATGTTAACTTCCTATAATCAGATGACAAAGGGCATACTAAATTTGCTATTTAAAAAAAACTGTGTTAACAGGCAGGTAGTCTGAATCCAGACTGTAGAGAGACATCTGGTATGTGTCTGAGATGAAACCCAAGTCACGGTGTCTCTAAATTTAGTTTTTGTGTCTGAAATACCTTATTTTTGAAGTTTTAAATATTGTTGAATTTCAGATTCTGTTGGAGCAAACTTTTCAAGTAGTAATGTTTAAAAAGGATAAGTATGAACTCAGGATCACAATTTTAATTTAAATTGATGTTACAGATTTAACATAGAGGTATAGGCAGAGGTTGGGGTAGTAACAAATTGAAGATCCAGCAAAAAATGTACTTTAGAAGTCCCTTGCTGGTCCTTTCTGTGTTTGTAAGGACTTCAGAGCAGAGTCGTATACTTAATCCACTTTATATCTGGTGACTGAATGTGATGAAATTACCACAAGTAGGTACCATAAATGTGCAAGGCTCCAGTTCTCTGTCTTGATCTACTTAATGGTTCCTTGATGCCCTATGGATGTCATTGAGCATTTTTTGTTTGTTTTGTTTTAAATCTTGTTTGTTACTGTTTCTGTTTGGCTTCATTTTTCTGAGTTGGGTAACCCACCTGTTTGTTTAGTACACAACAGCTATCCTCAATATTGTCTTACTATCTCTATGAGAAAAAGCTTGTTTATAGTTATGCCTGAGTTAACCAGTACAGTGACTGTACTGCAAACTTTTTTTTTTTTTAAGATTTATTTATTTATGCATATAAGAGCTGGGGTGTAGGCCAGAGGTGTGGGGCAGGAGGATGAGAGGCTTCACCAGAGACAGAGTGGGGAGCAGAACATGCAGGTTGACTGAAATACACTGCTGAGGGGAGCAGCAGGCAACACAGGAGAGGTCTGCTGTGACATGTGGGTAAGCTCCCTGGCTGGGGCTCGAACTTGTGCTGGAGTGGCTGCCAGTAGCTTGATAGTGCTGAGACTTAACCCCTTGAGCCACCAGGGAGGCCCTGCAATACAAACTTTCAACCAGATATTATCCCCTCTTAGGGATTATTCCTACTCTGGGCTATCCTAGGGTCAGTATCTAATCAGAGTTGAAAGCTTACTTTTGTTTCCCTTATAGGTGTGTTTTATCTTTGAAGGAATGTTGGTATTTGGTGAACATGAACACACAAGAACAAGGCCGAGAATATGAGGGCAGAAATGTAAAGGGACCCCATATGGAGGTAACTTTTAATTACATGTGCTCTGAGTACATGTTGTGATTTGTTTATTTGAGGGCATACTGACTGGACTCTTCATTGGAAAATCTGCAATATCAGTGTCTTTGTATTTTCTCTTGTGTCAGTTAAGAGTCCCCAGAGAAGAATCTAGGAATCTTCAAATCTTCTACTTGGATTTTATAAGCTGGGCTGCCAGTAATCTGATAGCTAAATTGGGGGAAAGAGTAGAGGTCTTAGCATTCAGTATGTAAACGCTCTCTTCTGTTCATTGAACTCAACTATATTCAATATGATACTCTCATTCTCAACTGGACCAGATGTATTCCTGTCAAGAAATCTTTGTTTTACTTTCTAGAATTGTGCTATCCATTATGATAGCCACTGACTGTGAATAGCAACTGAAATCTAAATTAAATTTAAATAAAATTAAAGATTTACTTCTTCACTTTCATTGGACACATTTAAACTGGTCAGTAATCACATGAGCCCAAAAGCTACCATATTTGACAGGGCAAATAGAGACTATTTCTGCCATTGCAGAAATTTTATTATGCAGTGCTGTTTAGTCTAGAAAAGAATGCACTAAGCATTTGCAAGGATGGGTGGGGGGCACTTGGCTGGTTTTGTCAGATGTAAGATGGTATCTTAATGATTTAACCAGCCCTCTTGTTTTTAGCACCATGTTTATCCCCCTCTTAAAGAACTTGCTGCTGTCAAATCTTGAACCATTCTGAGGCACAGTGGTATAAATTGGATTGCTTTTCTCATTGTAAGCTTGAGATTTAACTTCCTTAGGTCTTTTAAGTCAATCTGCAGTCCAACTTCCAAAATGATTTTGCTGTTGTCCTCTCTTTGTTTTGTGTACATATGCTTAAAAATAACCCACAAAAATCCTTTAGATCTGTGCCTTTGACGCTATGTAAATTAAATCTTAAAAAGATACAATTTTTTAAAAAAAGTTTTCTCATCTTAATAGGGTTTTAGGAGGGAGTGAGAGTAAAATATGTGTTTTAGTCTCCTGTCTTTATCCTTTAGTATACTATCAGCATTTTTTTGGTAAAGATTTATTTATTTATGCATACAAGAGCTGGGGTGTAGGCCAGAGGTGTGTGTGTGGGGGAGGGAGGGGGTGATAGGATTCACCAGAGACAGATTGGAGAGCAGAACAGGCGACTCTACTGAAATACACTGCTGAGGAGAACAGCAGGCGACACAGGAGAGGTCTGCTGCACCATGTGGGTTAAGTCATGGGCAGGCTGGGCATTGAACTCATGCTGTAGTGGCTGGCAATAGCTTGGTAGCGCTGTGTCTTTAACCCTGCGCCACCAGGGAGGCTCCGCTATCAGCATTTAAACATGTACAAATGTCTCCTTAAAAAGAAAGTCTTCCCTGTCTCTTGTATTTCCTCAGGCTTCTTGAGCACTTTTATATATTGCCTTCTTTGTTCTACTTGTGCCCTCCATTCTACTAAGAATTCTCTTGCAGATGTCATGAGACTCCAGTGGACATGTTTAATCTTTACCCTATTTGACTTCTCAACAGCCTTTGGCCATTTCTCTTCTAGAAACTTTCCTGGCAACACACTCACTTAATTTTCACCTTTTTTTCTCTGTTCATTCCTTCTCACTTTTCTTTGCTAATCTGTATTCTTCCATAAGCTCACTCTTTTTTTTTTTTTTTTAAGATTTATTTATTTATGCATACAAGAACTGGGGTACAGGCTAGAGGTGCGGGGAAAGGGGTGGTGTTGAGAGGATTCACCAGAGACAGAGTGGGGAGCAGAACAGGCAGATTGACTGAAACACACTGCTGAGGGGAGCAGCAGGCGAGGCAGGAGAGGTCTGCTGCGCCATGTGGGTTGCTCCCTGCCTGGGAATCGAACTCTTGCTGCAGTGGCTGTGGATAGCTTCATATTGCTGTGTCTTAACGCTTTGTGCCACCAGGGAGGCCCACATAAGCTCACTCTTAATCTCAAATTCCTTAGGACACTGTCCTAGGGTGCATTCTCTTCTCTTTTGGATACTATAAGCTGGTAATGTAAAATGGAATTCTTAGGGTATCCTCAGAATTCCTGGCCTATGTACCCAACAGTAGGTGTCCACTTGAGTTTGCTACAGTCACTTCCAGTCTAACATATCTTAAACAAATGGCCTAGCAAGTTTAACCTTTTTTCATTTGGTTTATGTTGATTATACTACTACCTAGGTACTACTCAGTAGAAATCTTACCCCCCATGTATAGGTTTCCCCCATTCATGTTAGTTCTGTCCTGAAAAAAATCTCAAGATCAATTTACTTTGATATAGTCTGCCAGTTTTCCTTGAACCTAAGCGGTTTTCACACCTTGCCTACCTATACCTACAACAGCCTCCTCATAGATTTCCTTTGCTATTCTTTTTTTTTTTAAAGATTTATTTATTTATGCATGTAACAGCCGGGGTACAGTCCAGAGATGCGGAGGGTGAGAGGATCACCAGAGACAGTGTGGGAAACAGAACAGTTAGACTGGCCAAAATACACTGCTGAGGGGAGCAGCGGGCGAGACAGGAGCGGTCTGCTTTGCCATGTGGGTTGCTCTCTGGCAGGCTGGGAATTGAACTCGTGCTGCAGAGGCTGCAATTGCTTCATAGTGCAGTGCTTAACCCCTTGTGCCGCCAGGGAGGCCCGGTTTCCTTTGTTATTCTGCACACTGAAGGTAGAATGATCTTTTTAAACATACAAGTGACATCTTGTATCCCTCTTGGTCTTTCTGTGGCTCACATTACCTTTAAATGAAGTAGCAGCATTTAACTTTTCTATTCTTTGCCTGCTTTTCGGAGCTCCTGCTGTAAGTGATACTGAAGTTTTTCCAGTTCTTTGAAATGTTGCATTCCCTCTCCTAGACTTTTCTTTGTTCTCTTTGCCTAGTAACTCTTTCTCATCCCTTTTCTCAGCTTAAAAGTTTCTTTTTTTAAATATACTTTTTCATGGATGATAAGAAAATCAATTTCAGGCTACATTTCACTGAGAATATATATACCATCAGAACCAAATTAGCTTTAAAGTTTCTTTAAAGAGAGAATTTTCCCTGACTCTCCTTCTAGGTATTCTTTTTTTTTTTTTTAAATCTTTGCAAATACATTTTCTTTTCTTTTCTTTCTTTCTTTCTTTTTTTTTTTTAAGATTTATTTATTTATTTATTTATACAAGCACTGGCTGGGTACAGTCAGAAGTGCGGGAGGGTGAGAGAATTCACCAGAGCTAGAGTGGGGACAGAACAGGCAGACTGACGAAACACACTGCAGAGGGGAGCAGCGGGTGCGGCAGGAGAGGTCTGTCGTGCCATGTGGGACCCTCGCTGGTGGCCAGGGATCAAGCCGGTGCTGCAGAGGCTGTGGGCAGCCTCACAGCCCAGCGCTCAACCGCTGCGCCACCAGGGGAGGCCCAGTTAAGTTTATTTCTTAACTACCTATTCTCCTAATATAATAATACCATAATTTTGACTGGAGTTAATTTTTTTTTCAATAGGAGAAGCATTGTCATTTAGGATGAGGTAGGTTTTCTAAGTCTTCATTATCTTGCTTTTTGCATGATATTTAGCATTCCTGAGCCCCAGGCACTAAATAGCAATACAAGCTTGAATTCACTGCAACAACCAAGAAATTCTAGCAATTTCACATTCTCAGTGACATCTCCCCTAGAGCCTTCTGACCTCTTTTTTCTGAATTGGTTACTCTCTAGGTCTGAGGCACAGTTGTCACTATGTGATATTTACTATATCTTTAGTATTCCTCTTGTCTGTCTCTTGACTTGGATCTCATCTTCATTTTTTTTTTAAAGATTTATTTATGCATACAAGAACTGGGGGGTCAAGGCAGAGGTGTGGGGTGTGAGACAACCCACCAGAGACAGAGTGGGGAACAGAATGGGTGGACTGATTGAAATATACTGCTGAGGGGAGCAGCAGGTGAATCAGGAGAGGTCATGTGGGTCACCTCCCTAGCCAGGGATCGAACTTAAGCTGCAGTGGCTTTGGACAGCTCCATAGTGCTGTGTCTCAACCCCCTTGCACCACCAGGGAGTTCCCCTCATCTTCATTCTTGATTTATTTCCTTATTTGGTCAGATGACCTGCTTCTGTACCTCTTTGATGCATGGGAGGTATATATTTTGATAACTTATGTCTCTGAAAACCTTTTTATGTCTTTAATTTTGACTGATAATTTAGGTGGATTTAAAAGTCTTTGTTGAAGGAATTATGCTTAGTGAAATAAGCCAGAAGGAAAAAGAAAAATATCAGATGGTTTCAGTTATAGCAGGAATATAGGACAACCAAATAAGACATCAGTGTAAAAAAAATAATAACAGTACAAAACACAACAAAGCAAAAACAGAAAATCATAAATCAGAGACGTACTGCAGGGGAGGAGGCGGGAGAGGGATCAGAGGGAGGGATGGAGGAGCCCAGGGGACTGAGGTGGTGGTACAAGGGTGCATTGGTGAAGGAAACTCTATGGGGACTATACATGAGGGGGTGGGAGGAAGCAAATATTCTTTAAAAATGAACAACGATGTAAAAAATAAAAAAATTAATTAAAAAAATTCTATGTTGAAAATAATTTTCCTTTCCAGTCTTGCTGTTATATCCATTGCCATTTTCATTTGTGATTTTTTCTTGTCATACCCCCAACCCCAAACTTGTAGAAGGTTGTTTTGACATCTTATAATTGACATTCCTTTTTATGTGTCTGTTTTCTTTTATTGATAGGGTCTTTTCATGTGCAAAATCATATCCTTTAATTCTGAGAATTTTCTTGAATTATATATTTGACATCGCATTCCCTCTGCACTTTCTCAGTTTATCTTCCTGAAATTTTTATTTGAATATTTGATCTCCTAGTCTGATGATTCTTTAATTTTATCATTATTTTCACTCTAATTTTGTGCTATTTTCTAGGATATTTATTCAAAATTTTAGATGTTTAAGAGAATTTTAACTTTTCACTTTGAGATAACTTCAGACTTA